CCTCCTCGTCCTCCTCCTCGTCCTCCTCCTCGTCCTCTCCCTCTTCCTCCTCGTCCTCCTCGTCCCCTCCCTCTTCCTCCTTCACCAGCAGCAGCTAGCAGATGGTCTTTAATGTGTAAATAACCACCCTACCACAATTCTTCTAATGATCTATTTGAGAAGAACATTTAAAAAAAAGATATAACCCCCCAAAAAAACCCCCAACAGCAACAAACAAACAAACACACACAAAAAATCCCACCCCAACAACAACAACGAACAAACCACAAAACCAAAGGGTTTTTTCTTCCCCTTGACTGGTGAGTATTTTAATGTTCGTCTCAAGGCCTTACGCCTCGAGTATAAATTACCATGAGGTCAACAGACGATCTATTAGGAAAGAGTCGTGATTTGGCTACCTTTGTGAACAAGAGCCGTAACTCTATATTCTTGTGAAGAAATCGTTCAAATGAGTCCCTGTGGAGAATTTAATGATATTTAACACCACCACCACAGACGACTTTTGGGGATTAGAACAATCAATACCGGCATCGAATTACATTGGATAGACGATACAGATTTATAACTGTCTTCGATACTTGTCTCGGTTCTTTATTTCCATGCCATATTTCTTGTCTTATTAACAAATATCGATGAAAGAACAGACGTCTTGAAAATGAAAATATTTAACAATGATTTTGACAAATTATGTTGTCCATATTTTCTCTAGAAAACACGATTCTTACACATTACGTGGTAAGCTTCTTAGCTAATTCATAAGACATTGTACTTCAAGATGGTTCAAGACATTGTCTTTTCATAAAGATTAACAACAACAACAACAACAACAACAACAACAACAACAACAACAACAACAACAACAACAACCCCCCCCCTAAAAAAAGACCGCTAAAGTAAACCCCGACCCGCATCATCACAATAATTGCAAAGAGCCTTTTACACGTGATGTCGTGATTGCCCACAGGTGGCCCTACAGATAGTGTAGACCCCAGACGTGAAAAGAAGGTCAAGTAATTTTTTTAAAGGAGGGCCGAAGTTTACTTTTATCAAAAAGCGTCTTCAACAAACCGCCAACGAATGTGTATACCACGCTACTGGCGCTTTGTTCCGTTTTTAAAACAGATCCAGCTCCATGGTAAAATCCCATCTAAATTGTATACAGCAGATTGGTTTAGCGTCTTGATCTAAAAATTAACAAAGTTTTGTACTCCCTGGTCAAGGATACGAAATAAGAGATCAAGATTTGATAAAGCTGATATGAAGGAAACTGTTCATAGCCTTTGCACAAAGTTTGGATCGAGAATACTTGGTTTACCATTTGTGAGGCAGCGAGGTGGAATCAGGCTCTCGTCAAAATAATCAAAGTGAAGAAACTTGCATTTTTCCGCAGGTTTGTGAATTTTAATTAATTTTTTGTTTTTTGACTCAACACCTTTCATGCCCATTAAAGAATTCATTTCCGTGTGGATTTTTCTTAAAAACGTTGATTGATTAAAGGCACCAAAAATGTAAATTTTCAGTTACCACGGAAATAACTAATCTTTGGCGGCCATTTTCTCACTTATTTAACCTCTGAAAGCAGGTGACCCCCACCTTCTTCATTCGCAAATATCTCGACTTGCATTCAAGATAAATTGATATTTTTAAAAATCCAAATAAAGACAAGTGAACAAGCTTTAAGATGATACCAATAACTCTACATGCCCAAAAAATTGACGAGAGCCTAATTCCAACACGCTGCCTCACATTTATTAATTAGTTCAACAAAACAAGAGTTCAATGCAAGATCTTGGTCAATTAATATAGTAGATGTTTCGGTTTTGTTGGTTCCACACACTGGACAAGAGAAAACAAACTAACATTTGTTTGTTTTTTGTCGCGAGTAAGTTGGTAACACGAAACATGTTCTTCCTTGAAGCTAATTTAACGTCACGGAAACTATTTTTTTTGGCGATGTCATTCTTCTGACACATGGATGTTTCACTCAAAATATTACCGATATCTGAACTTTTTTGACAGATTGTTTTCGGGACTATGAAATAAAAACTTCGATACCGTTGTCCGCATTGTGACAGGAATTTTTGTGGGGAATAATAGCAAATCACGTCCAAGTTTGAAGCTCAAGAAAATGTTGGCTCCAGCTTTCAGAATGGGACAATACAAATTTAGAGCAACAGCCACCCTAAACATTTAAACTTGTAATTTTTAAGAATTTGTGTCCAGAGACGGCGTGTCGTTTACTGTTATGTGAAACGTATGCGTTAGAGGAGTACCGTCAAACTTCTCAGCTCGGTTGGGACAACCAACGCTTGTGCTGGTATTTTAAGGCTCCTTGTTGCACGTAAAAGACTTGAGTCCGATTCTCACCTGGTGACGTCAGTGCTTTCTTGTCCTATCGTCATTTTAGTGACAGGG